TGAAAAGATCCCAAGAGACGGCACAAGAAACAAAGACCCACTTGTTTGCACACTCAGGAATCCCACAAGAACACTAAACTGGAAACCAATATATATAGTAGGGTAAAAGGAAAGAAAAAATATAAAGTCAAATAAAAATAAAAAATAACAAGATAAAACTTTAAAAGAGAAGGGGTTGAGGAGCTCTGACATGATGTTATGAAACCTCCAAAGATGTGTTGAATTCATTTTCAGTTGGCTGTCTACTGCTGCTGGTCATGTGGCCTGCCTGTTTTTTAAATTAATTAATTTTTAACTTTTATTTGATTTGTGGATTTCACAATATGCATTCTGATTCCACTTATCTCCCTATTCCCTAAAATCTGCCCCTTGCAATCTCCCCCAAAATCAAAGCCAATTTTAAAAGAAAAGCCAAAACATGAAACCAAACAAAACCAAACGAACAACAAAACAAAACAAAAGTTGGAGAATCTTGTCATGGAAGTTGCAGTCACAAAGTTTACTCTTCAGACAATAAACATTTACTTGCAAGTGTTCATCACCAGAATCATTTGTCTGGCTTGAGACCTCTGGTTTCTGCTACACCACCAATAATGGGTTCTCACTGAAGCTTCTCTCGAACATCCTGTTGTTCTGTGTCATGGAGATCCTGCTGTTTTGGATCTGTAGATTCATCCCCTTCTCATGATTCAACAGTTCATAGATTTGGTGGATGGTGGGGTGGGCTAACTCATAGCCCTTGTTCTGGGCCTGGCTGGTAGCTGGACTGATCAGCCCACCAGCTTTCCCTCATGGTCTCCACTACCCAGGCAAGCTCTCCAGTGCTGCCTCATCTAGCTCATCCAATGCAGCCTCAACAAGGGGCAGAGCAGTTCTGCTCACAGGTCCTCAAGTCATCTACACTCACATCACCCTGGGCCGGCTCTACTATCATCTAGGCAAGGTGCAGGACCCTCTTTCCCATTTGCTGTAGAGGACATAAGAGGGGGTTGGGGTCACCTCTCCTGCTGTCATGCCCTCAAAGCTGGCTAACATGCACCCCACTCCCAACAGGGCCAGCTCTAGGTGCTGCCCAAGTGTGGTGCTAAACTGTTCCCCTGTGTGTCACAGTTGGTGAAGGGTAGGGTTAGTTCTCTCACGGCCCCAGCCCAACTCTCTCCTGCCACAAGTAGCAAGGGGTGGAGGGGTAGGCATCTTTCCCTCGTCCCTGCCACTTCATGGTGGGGAGACAGGGTCTGCTCTATTGCTCTTACACCCTTAGGGCTGGCTCACCTGTATTCTTGACACCAGGGTCAGCTCTAGTACACTGCGCACATTTGGGGTGGGAGTGTGGGGTGTGCAGAGCCTGCTCTCTCATGAGCTGCGGCTAGAAAGGGTCCCACTCTTAGGATCCTGGGGTCAGCTTTCTCACCTGCCACAAGAGGTAATGGGTGAGGTGGGGAGGGCATCTTTATCTCATCTATGCCACCACATGGCAGAGGAGACAGGGGTGGGGGGAGGTGGGGTCAACTTTCTTGCTCTCACACCCTGGCTGCTCTGCTCACCTGCATCCCCCTGAGCCAGCTGCAGGTTCAGCTCTAGTATGCTGCCCAGGTGAGGTGCACGGTGGGGCCATCTCTCCTGAGTGTGTGTGTGGGGGGGGGGGGAAGCTCTCCCGTTAGGGGGCAGTGCCAGAGCTGCTATTGCATTATCCAGTGGGGGGTGGGGCCAGGTGTCCAAGGCATAGTAGAGCGTGGGCTGACTCAGTACAGCATGGTTCCGGTGAGGCCTTGTGTTAACACAAGTCATGGACATCATCACTGATCCCAGTTGCAGCATGGCTTTTGGCAGGAGCTCTGACCCAGACATTACCACAGCCAGTTGGACAGCACAGGTCACCCAGATTTGTATGGCAGCCAACCTTTAAGAACAGTTTGTTTCCCCAGTGAGACTCCCTTGGAGGAAACTAAGTTTTCACTTACAAATAGTTATCAACTGGCAATTGTTTCTGGGTTATGGGTAGGAGCTTGGGTTCACTTTGCCTTTCAGCTCTAGAACCCTAACTAGTGCAGACCCATGCAGGTCTGTCTGTGCATGCTGCTTCAGTCTCTGTGAGTTTACATGTATTCTCTGTGAGTTTACACGTGTTACAATCATGTTGCATCTGGTTTACGGCTGAGCGTTCGAAAGTCTCATTCTCTGCATATTGTCTGGCTGTGGTCTCTGTATTTGTTCCCATCCTTTGTAGGAGGAAGCTTCTCTCATGATTGTTGATCAAGGTACCAGTCTATGAGGCTAATACATAGGGATGAAGGCTCTGTATAGGCACCAGCTCGATTTTAATGAGTTTTGTAAGTGTTGTCTTCAGCAACGTGGCCTTGTCATCAGTTTGTGGAGAGCAAACGATAGTCTTGGCAACAGCCTAACTTGTCTCAGGGAACCTGTTGGCCAACAAATCAATTAGATGTAACCCACTCCCAGGATTGGAAGTTCATTTGGTGATAAGAGATGTTCAGTTGGGGCATTCTTTCCTCATTATTTTGCAATTTCATTTAGATCATCTTCATATATGTATATATTGGAAACGTCTAGTGCATTAGGTTTCCATACTACCCTCAAATAGCCCTTAATTTTAGCTATTTCTCCCCATATTCCCCTTATGTTTCCCTCTTTCTTCCTCCTCCCCTTTTGATCCTTCTGTTACAGTTTCCTTCATATTCTATTCCACTTTTCTAGGGAAATCTACTCTCTCCCAACCCCCATCCCTAGTTCCCTATTCCATATGTGATCTTTGTGGTTCTTGGTTATCATTGACTTAATAGTTAATATCTACATATAAATGAATACAAATTATATTTGTCTTTCTAGATCTGGGATACCTCAGAATGATCTTTTTCTAGTTCCATCCATTTACCTGCAAATTTCATGATTTCTTCTTTATTTTCAAGACAAGGTCTCTCTGTGTCACCCTGGCTGTCCTGGAACTTGCTCTGTAGACCAGGTTGGCCTCAAACTCATAGAGACTGGTCTGCCTCCACCTACCAAGTCCAGGCGTTAGAGGCATACACCAGCACTGCATGGCTCATCATTTCATTTTATTTAATAGCTGACTAATACTCAATTATGTAAATATACCATATTTTCTTTATCTACTATCTTGTTGAGGGACATCTAGGTTGTTTCCAATCTCTCACTATTATGAATAGAACAGAAATGAGTATGGTTGAGCAAGTGTTTTTGTGATTGGATGAAGTGATCTTAGGTATTTGTCCAGGAATGGTATATCATTGCCACTTTGAGACAGTTTTGAGACTGGCCTCAAACTTGTGATATAGCCAAGAATCACTTTGAACCCTTAACTTTCCTGCTTCTCCCAACTGCAAGGATTGAAGGTGTATACCACCACACTCACTCGATTTCACTAGCCTTACCCATATCCTAGAAAGCAAGGGGATTCCTGCTAATAAGCTAGGAATGGGCTAGCCAAAACTTAAGTTATAGATGGTACCAGTTAGGGGACAATACTATAGAAGAGTAAGTTCTCACAGACTTCCACTTATAAAATTATATGACAACCAATGTATGATGTCATTTCTCCCACAGGTTTGGCTTTCTAGGGGAGGATGATTCTGTTTATTATCTAACAATTGTAGGATTCTACATTCCTTATGATGCTGAGTCCTATTGATTGGAGGGTAGTAGTGCCAAAGGCAACTATCAGGTTTCCTCCTCTAGCTGAAATGAAAGGCACAGAGAGACAATGTCTAGTCACTGGGGTTACAAAGCAGGTTATCACTACAAAGTAGGACCTAGAAAATCTATAGAGAAACCCAAAGAATTTTCAAAGACAGCTTGTGCTAGCTAGGTCTTATGTCAACTTGACACAACCTAGAGCAGTGGTTCTCAACCTTCCTGATTCTGTGACCCTTTAATATAGTTCTTTGTTTTGTGGTAATCCCCAATCATAGAATTATTTTCATTACTACTTCATAAATGTACTTTTGCTACTGTTATGAATTAATATGTAGACATCTGATAAGCAGGATAGTTTTAGATGACCCCTGTGAAAGGGCCATTTGACCACCAAAGGGTCTTGACCCACAGGTTGAGAACCATTAAGCTAGAGTCATCTGAGAGGAGAAAACTTCAATTAAGAAAATGTCTTCAAGGCAGGTGGTGGTGGCGCATGCCTTTAATCCCTGCACTCAGGAGGCAGAGGCCAGCCTCAAAACTGTCTCAAAATGGCAATGATAAAGAGGGAGCATTCCTCAGCCATGTGCCTACTGCTCTACTCCTTTTGCTGTCGACTTTCTTTGCGAGAAGCAAGAATACACGCTGATTGTATTGCCATCTCATCACTGTGGCAAAATATTTGACAGAAGAAACTTGAGGAAGGGCTTACTTGAGCTCACACTTGGAGTGTACAGTTCACCATGAGGGTGAAAGCTTGGCAGCAGGAGTATGATACCGCTGGTTGCACTGTACCTGTTCATTGGGATACACAGAGAGATGAAGGCTGGTGCTCAGATCCCTTTTATTGAGTCCAGGATCTCAGCCCATGACAGTCCAGTCCACATTATTAAACCTCTCTGGGAATGCTTACACACACACACACACACACACACACACACACACACACACACCTCTTCTAGATGTGTCTTCGAGATGACTATATATCCATTGAGTTGACAGTGGAGAGGAACCACCCCATGATAATTGTGCAGTGTGATGTGTCCTGATTCTGAAAGCAGATTCAAATGTGGACTATAACTAGTTTCCATGGAGAAGAATCACTTGTCTAGTATCCCAGTGTAGCCTGGTTGCCACCAGGTGGCAATGGTGCTACATTAAGGACTCAGAGCTGATAATGCTTTGAAGAGGGAAATCATGCTAGCTCCCTCAGCCACTATGGCCCCTTTGTATTTAAAGGGAAAGACCAATGGAAAGATCTGGTATCTTGCCTATCAGCAGTGGTTGTCCTTTGGGGAGTGTTATTTTTTTTTTGTCTCTGAATCAACAACTTAATAGAATAAGTTTATTTTGGTTCAGGGTTTGAGGTTTACAGCAGCAGGGAAGGCTTTGACTACGGTGGTAGAGCATGATACAGCTGTGTGCTCACATCTGGGCAGATCAGGAGGCAGAGAGTTGGTGGGCTGGTGCTTGGCTCTCTTTTCCTTTTTCTTCGATTTTGGCAGGTCCTCAGCCCATGGGTGGAGTCACCCATATTCAGGGCAGGTCTTCTCTTCTCAGTTCATCTTTGGATGTGCTCTCACTAATGTTCTCAGAAGTGCATCTCCCAGGGTTCTAAATGCAGTCAAGCTGACAACAAAAATGAGTCATTACATTTCTTTTAGAAAATGCAATAGAAAAAAAATCCCATGTCTGAGACAAAGAGGCCAAAATATAAAACACAATGAAGACATGGAGCTTTTGCTATAGGTTTTCTTCATTCTGCCCCTGTGTGTAAAACACTTTTTAGATTTATGCCTTTATTATTTATATGCATGGGGAATATATGTGTACTTGTGTGTTGGGATACCTTCAGAGGCCAGGAAACGGCAGCAGATCCCTTGGAGCTGGAGTTGCAGATCTTTGTGAGCTGCTGAATGTAGGTGCTGGTCTCTAAACTCTAGTCCTCATAAATTAGCAACAGGCACTCTTAACCACTGAGCCATCTCTCCTTAAGTGCCTACCTACATCTCCTGCCCCATGAAAAGTATTTTTAAAAGATTTATTTTATCTTTACTTATGTGTCTGTGTGGGGTATGTGCATGGGCCCAAGGAAGCCAGAGGCTTTCCACTCCCTTGGATCTGGATTCACGGGTGTTTTATTTCCCAACTTGAATTCTGGGAACTGAACTCAGGTCTTCTGTAAGAGCAGTATTGATATCTAACTACTAAGCTGTCTCTCCAGCTTCATACAACTAGTTTTTAGATGAATTAAGGTGGAATTTGATGTGGTTCAGTAAGTACCCCAACTTTATTCTTTGTGAGAAATTTAGCTTTGTTCTTCCTTGGATGTTAGTTTTATTCTCTAGTCAAGGTCTATGGTTCCAAGATGGCTGTCGATAACACCTGGGAACTCGTTCTTGTTCACATCTGCAGAAAGAACTCCACTGCTATTGTGATAGAGCCCCACCCTTCTCTAACTAGACTGCCTTAGGTCCACTGACCACCTCTAAATCAATGCCTCTGGCTGAGGGAGTCTATGCCCTAATTAGCTGGAGTTAGGACTAATTGATCTGTGGAGAGGTATGGGGAACACCTTGACTAACTGTGGGGTTTGTCAAACTCATGGAAGCGCACAGCTGCCACACTGGTTGAAGATGAATATTCAGAGATAACTAGACACACTGGTATAGACCTTTTTAGATGTGAACCGCTGACATACACACCACTTTTTAGACTATGATTATTTCTAATTAAAAAAAAAGACTGGAAACAACCCAAATACTCAGTGATAGGGGAGTAACAAAATAGAAGACTGTATACTCATTTGCAGGTTTAACTTTTTCAAAGTCTGGAAATTAGTTGGAGGTAAAATAGATGGAAAATAGTAAGGTTAATATGGTAGGTTTTCTGTTGAATAACTTCAGGTAATAATGAAAAACCAGGACTAGAATCATAACAGTTATTTTAAAATTTACAAAACTTGCTTGTAGAGTCTGAGGAAATGCTTACGGAAGATCCCAGATTCAAATAGTATGCAAAAACAGAGCATTTATTATACCATCATGCATGTGGGGTCACTCACCTGAACAAAATGGTGATGACCCCCAGAGGGACATGCAGGCTCCTTTTAAGCATAGCCTAGGGGAATTTCAGGAGCAATTAGGTCATCTCAAACGTAATTGGTTAAACAAGCAGCTGTTACACTAGTTTATTTCTGATTGGCTGAGGTTTAGTTTTTATCATTTTTTAATTCATCTGTATAAACTTGGATGTGACCCAAAAGAGGCCTGCTGGGTTTGTCCTTGAGACACTGTGAAGCTGACTAAGGGCCTCTGTTTGTGTTCTCCCTCAACCCTGAATGTAAGGGCCTTGCAGATAAATGACCCTTTGTTGGAAAAGACACCTGTGTATCCTTCTCAGAAAACCGAAAGTTAAATTCAATTGTAAAAAGTGGGAGAGTTTAACCCCTTCATGCTTATTTTCTGCAGTTAATCTACTGTGCTTTTTAGAACTCTAGAACTTGCTGGGCGGTGGTGGTGCACGCCTTTAATTCCAGCACTCGGGAGGCAGAGGCAGGCGGATCTCTGTGAGTTCGAGGCCGGGCTGGACTGATAGCCTCCAAAACAATACAGAGAAACCCTGTCTCGTAAAAACCAAAAAAATAAAAAAAAAGTGGGTGTCAGTGGTCAAACTCAGGTCATTAGGCTTAGATGACAGACATCTTTACCTATGGATCCGTATCTCTGGCCCCACATTTACATTTTAAAATAAAAGAGAATTAGATTGAAACCAAAAATTTATACTGCGAATTTTGAGGCAAGTATTATAGTCTCTTCAGTTTTTTGTTTTAAAGTTATATCTCTGTGTGTGTGTGTGTGTGTGTGTGTGTGTGTGTGTGTGTGTGTGTGTGTGTGTATGAATGCTGGTCAGAGGACAACTTGTAGGAGTTGGTTCTTCCCTTCTACCATGTGGCTCAGGCTGTTGGTCTTGCCAGTGAGCACATTTACCTATCCAGTCACCTTGCTAGTCCCCTTCTAGAAGACTTCTCTTTTGAGATGTGGCAGAGGATAGCTAGGCTGCCATCAAATTGGCTATGTAGCCAACGTTGACCTTGAACTCCTGATCTTCCTGCCTCCACCTCCTAACTGCTGGAATTACAGCACCTAGCCATTCTGAAAATATTTGCCTGAAATGAATAGAGACCATATTTGGATCCTGAAGTGATCTAGATATATGAAATAGTTGGGTTAAAACTGGCCTCACTGACTAGATATTTGATAATATGAAGAAAATTTTAGCAAATGTGTTCAGTTAGGCACTGAGGTGTGCTTGTCTGTATTTAAGATTCTTACTTAATCTTAATGTACATGAACTATTGAGAGCTTTAGATGTACATGAACTGTTGAGGGCTTTAGATGTACATGAACTGTTGAGGGCTTTAGATGTACATGAACTGTTGAGGGCTTTAGATGTACATGAACTGTTGAGGGGTGATAAAACAGCAGGTGAGATATGTGTATGTGGGCATGTGTGAACAGTAGGATTGCTGGAGTTGGTTCAAGGGAATTACCACACCATTCTCTTTAGATTTTATTTGCTTTAAGACAAGGTTCCTCATGGCCAGGCTGGGATCAATCAGGCTTTTTTGCTAAGGATGAGCTTGGACTCCTCAACCTCCTGCCCAATATACCCAGTCCTAGGATTAGAAGTATATGACTCTACACCCTGATAATTTTTCTTTTAATACTGTCAATTTTTCCATGAAAAGATAAAAAAATAACTTGGCTTCAATGACTGACTATTTTTCCAAAGAGTAGAAAGAATTATGAAGGGTTTGTGGTGGGGAGAACATTTTTTCCCTGGGTGGAGCAGGGTAAAGGGGAATTTTACCCTGGTCTTAATCCAGGAGCAAGGCAGTTCGTATTCATAAAGTCACTGACTCATAGGAAAAGGAACCGCTCCCAGGACATAAGTTTCTAATTTTACCAAAACAAGAAGAAAACAGTACTCACTTTAAAAATTCAAGAGGGAAACCATGGACCTGGAATCCCTAGTTACGCTGATATGATAAGTCAAGGACTTTGAGTGTAAACAGTATTTGGATGGTTTAGCATTCACTTCCTCTTCCTAAAAGCACTGTCAATTTCCAGACGCCTTTCCGCTGTTGAGTACAGCCTCGGTGGGAAAGAGAGTGCATCCGTATGCAAGCTCCTGAGCAGACAGAACAAGTTCTTCTGAGCTTGTGGCAAATGGGTTATGCTGAGAAACCATTGTTTTAACTTTTGCTATGTTGTTTTAATTTTTGGACACAAGGTCTCACTTGTAGTCTGGGGCTGGCATAGACCTCATAACATAGCCCAGGTCAGTCTGAAACTCAACAGTTGATCCTCTTGCCTCAGCTTCCAGAGTATTAGGCTCACAGGCATATACCACCATGCTGGCCAACTCTGTTTTCTGTCACGATAAGGAAAAGAATATTCAGCCCTGCTCTCTACCCCATGGATACCCCTGGTGTTAACTAGCTCATCTACACAGCTGGTTCTCCCAGTTTGTCTGCTTGTTTGTTTGTTTCTTCTTTTGAGACAGTCTCACATATCTCAGGATGGCCTTGAACTCACTATGTAACTGAGGCTGACTTCTGGTCCTCCTGTCTCCACCTCTCGAGTGCTCTGATTGTAGGCGTGTGACTCCGAGCCTGCTTTTATGTGTTGCCATAGCCCCAGCTTTTAGCATTATTGTGTTCATGACAAGCAGTTTCCTTATGTTTGCTAGAGGTACCAAAGTTGCATTTTTTCCATTTGCAACCCAAACTTTCATTCTTCTATTGAGAATTGTGACCAATGAAGGGGAAGAGACTGGCCAGTGATCAGAACAGAAAGAAGAATAGAAAAGCAGCTAGAGAAAGCTTTGGAAGAACCAATCCCAGTAGGCAGCCTGCTAAGAACTGGAGGTAGACTGAGGAAGAAAGGCGGAGTGTCCCATTCTTGAGCTGGTATGATGTTACGTACACAGAACCCATGCACTAGGAGGCTGATGCAAAGGAAGTGAGTGCCAAGAGAGCAAACTTAACATTCCTCCTTTGTGAAGCCATCCGTATGCTGGTCAGCTTGATTACAGTTCATGGTGTAAACACAGGTCACATCGGCATGTTGGACACTCAGAATATACACAACTTTATTTGTTGATTTTAAAAGGAAAGTTTCCCATGGGACCAAGATGGAATAGCTTGAGCATTAACACAAGAAAGAACTGGAGTGCATTTGAGAGCATCTGCTATATCTGACTCAGTCCATAAATGACACTAAAAGAAATTGAAGAATCTTAGGGTATCAAATTATTGTTTTGAAAAGAATGATAAAACAAAAATCATGTAGCTAGTCTCTCTTCATAAATTGTACAGCTGGCTTTGCTAATGGTAGGTAGAGAAGAGTCCTCTACAAGAGGATAAGAGTCAATATATTTTAAAAGTTAGGATTTTGTCATTTTGCAAGTCCTTGGTGACATAATGAATCACAGCACTGAATGTCAGTAATTGCTAATGTCACAGGAAAAGAGGGACTGTGACATCAAGGGCATCCTTGAAGTAGAAGCAAAGTGTACTATGCAAGAGTTGAACTTAAACTTAATCAAGGCCTAAGAAGGCAGAGGGACTTGTCCTATCACACAACTGTGAGCTGCAGAATCCAGATGGCAGGAAATTAAAATGTCCAAACAACTTGTTTTATTTTCTCTAAATAAATTAAAAGGGAAAAGGAAGGGAATTGGCTGGTAAAGATATATTACAATATCTGTCAACCAAAAAAAAATGTGGGGAGCTCATTTGGATCCTGATCTTTCAAGAAAAAATTTACTTATTTTATATTTATGAGTATGTATATGGGTACCTGCATGTGTTTGTGTTATTTTTTTTAGATTGATTATTTATTATGTCTGCGTGTGTGCCTGTATTCCAGAAGAGGGCACCAGATCTCATTATAAATGGTTGGTTGTGAGCCACCCTGTGGTTGCTGGGAATTGCACTCAGGACTTCTGGAAGAGCAGCCAGCGCTCTTAACCTCCGAGGCATCTCTCTAGCCCCATTTTTTTTTTTTTTTGGATTTTTCGAGACAGGGTTTCCCTGTGGCTTTGGAGGCTGTCCTGGAACTCGCTCAGTAGACTAGGCTGGTCTCGAACTCACAGTGATCCGCCTGCCTCTGCCTCCAGAGTGCTGGGATTAAAGGCGTGCGCCACCACCGCCCGGCTAGCCCCATTATTTTTATATTTATGTATTTTATGTTATTTTGTTGTATTGTGGTATTTATGCTTTGTCTTTGTCTTTGTTTTTTTGTTTTTGTTTGTTTGTTTGTTTGTTTTTTCAAGACAGTGTTTTTCTGTGTAGCTTTGGAGCCTGTCCTAGAACTCAGCTCTGTAGACCAGGCTGGCCTGGAACTCACAGAGATTTACCTGCCTCTGCCTCCTGAGTGCTGGGATTAAAGGCGTATACCACCATTACTTGGCTGTTATTTTTATAATATGTGAAGCTTTAGGAGTGTATTTTTACCTATGTGTCCAGTAAGCAATGAAGATCACAAATATTCAATCCTTTAACATAAATAAATAAATTAAAAAAAGAAAGTGGATTAAGAGTCACTGAAACTAAAAGGCACCACATTGACATGTAATATAATAGTGTTTTTCAATTCTCACAATTACACAATTCTAAGTCATTTGCATAATCTAACAGGTCACACTGAAGGCCTATGTCACTGCAAAATCAAATGGGTCACAGCTAAACATTAATCAATGTTGGAAAGTGAATGAAAAAAATAATTAAAAAAGGAAAAAGACATGACTGCTCCTAGGTATGATAGAGAAAGTTTACTATAGATATGTGGGAGAGCATAGCCAGAGGCAGGGACATCTAGAAGAGTCCAGAGTGGGCATGACCCTAAACCATATGGGGGGATTAAGAGAGAGGGGAGACAGAAGAACCAAGTGCAGCAGCCAGGGGGCCCAAAAGAGGACAGATAACCAAAATGGCTGGGTTACATAGGGAGGGGCAGCCCAGTCCCCAGACTGGATAGTTTAGGGGCAGGGTATGCTAGCCATACCCTGTAGCTGGTAGGGACTGTGGGATGTGGAAGAAGCTGGGGGACAGGTTCTCTTTTATATGTTAAATAAG